CATTGAACTCATGCCAACAGCACTATAATCTCATGCCTGAGGGAAGCTTACCTAACACATATATCTTCTCCTTGAGGCACATCACAGCCTTGTGCTTAGGGACACTAGATGGCACTTCAGCACTCTGCTTGGCGGCCATTTTAAACAGTGAAATCACCAAGAAAAAGCACAAAAATGCGAAAAATGTGGCACTAAATAGCCTGTGAAAAGGACACTTGTTTACAGTATGAGCTGAAACAAGAAGGCAGAGCATCACCTTTTCAACCTCAGATGGGAAAATGTGTCAGGTGACTCCACGTTTTTACCACTATATGTACGTCCGCAAATGACTATAAAGGTTCCACGAGTATTGATTTCGGGGTTACAATTTTAGCCAGTAGGCAAATTTGCAAATAGGTAATACAGGAATGAGGATCAACTGTATATACATGTGTGTCTATATACACGTGTATGGGGTACACATGTATGATCTAGTGATTAATCTCGTTAACAGTGATACTGTACTGAAAACAGAGAACACCCCCATGCCCACCTTCCTCTACTTGGCTTAAAGAACTCCGTCTGCCATACCCTTACACTCAAGGCAGAATAAAAACTTCCCTGGGAATTTAACCATTCCACTAACAAATATCTAGATACAGACATTGGGAGATTCCTTAACAGCTGACCCAGACCACCCTACAAAAAGCTGTCATCAAATGTTACTCACCCATTCAGAATTCCCAGTGTTTTTTCCTCCAGTCTTATGAGAAAACAGACAGGAATTTCCAAAGATCAAGGAAAGTCTCTAGTGTGAAATCCAAAAGAAACAAAAAAAGCAATTTAAAGGCAAATTAAAGTTCTTGGAAATAAAAAAAAAAATTTTTTTTATAGGAGAAATGAAAAACTCAAGAAGGCTGGAAAATAAAATTAGGGAAATTCCCAGAAAGTAGAGTAAAATGGCATAGAAAAGGGAAAGAAACACAGTTTAGAGTACCAGTCCAGACAGACCTACTACAAATGATAGGAGTTCAAGAGAGAAAAAAGAGAAAATACAAGGAAGGAAATAAAATTTTTTTTAAACAATTTCCAGAAGTGAAGGACATGAACCTTGTGATTGAAAGGACCCAGTACAATGAATAAAAAAAGACTTATAACAGCAACATCACTGTGAAATTTCAGAACACTGAAGACAGAAACTCTACAGACTTCCAGAGAAAAAAATACCGGTTACGCACAAACTACTGGAAATCAGAATGCCTTTAGATTTCCAAATAGCAAAATTGGAAATGGAAATAAGTGAAGAAAACCTTAAACTTCTGGGTATAGAATTCTATACCCAGTCAAGCAATCAATCAAATACGAGGGTAGAATACATTTGCAGACATCAAGTTCTCACAAAGCTTACATCCCATGTACCCCATTCTCACGAATTACTGGAGAACGTGATCCACAAAAATGTGAGTAAAAGATAAAGGAAAAGGCAACTCAACAGTGGGGGAGGGAAGGGAATTCCCAGGATGACAGCTGGGCCCTAGAACCAGAGAGCAACTAGTCCAGGTTGGAAGTGAGCAAAGAAAGATGCATTGAAAGCCATCCCAACCAAGACAGTCACTGCTTTGTAATCTTGGAATAGTACATCCAAGGCCATCTAACTTCCATTCTGTTCTATATCTTGGCTTGTCTGACCATGCCCCAGTGAAGTGCCTGCTCTCCCCTTCATATCCTGATGTCTAGATCAGCTGAGGACACTCACTTCACCCCACAGGAAGGTTCTGCATTGATCTTCTCTTGAGATGGAGAAAGGTCATAGTGAGCTTAGAAGTAAATATAAAACAAGCACACAACCCTTTAAGCACATTTCTGCAGCTCCAGGATGCCCCAACTGTGGTGACTTGTGTTTCCTAGGACTCATCACCTTGCTCACTGACATCTGCATATGGGGCTTTGGAAAACTCTAGAAAATGAAGTCAGACTCAGGGGCTGTTCAGTCCGTCTTTTCCAGGACACCTTCATCCTATGGTAGCAAATACAGTTGATTTTGGAACAACACAGGTTTGAACTGCGTGTGTCCACTTATATGTGGAATTTTTTTCAGTCAGTTCTCCAAGGTTGGCTTCCCCACTGTGCACTTGGGAGTTTGCAGCATAACCAAGGTGTCGTCATACATGTGGACAGATCTTTTTCAACAAATGTATCAGAAAATTTTTGATCAGGTGTCATGAGCATGTGATGACATACCTAACCAAATAATTAAGTAGTTAAGTTTTGGGAGAGTCAAAAGTTATACAAATTTCCAACTCCGTGGGAGTCAGTGCCCCTAACTCCCATATTGTTCAATGTTCAACTATAGTGCCCTCATAGAGCTAGGTTTGTGCTGGTTTCTCAGTTCAAAACTAAACAAGATACTGTGTTTTGGGATATCCTATGAGTGGTTTTTCAAAAAAGGATAGGAAATGTTTAATATAACATCCTAGATATTTACCTAAGCTACCTGAGGGGAAAGAGTGGAATAAAATTGAGAATGGACACACAGCTGGCTTCTATGTTCAGTGTCTTTACTTGAATAGTGGGCATGTGTTTATTATACATTCTCCCGTAAGTTTCACAATTAAAATGTAAGGCCATTAGAATTTTTACCTTCTCCTGACCTTTAACTGGAACAAGCTTGATAAAGCATACCAATGTCAACATACATGAAGGAGCAACATAAAAGTACTGAAAATTTAACAGTAAGATGGTTAGAGTTTTGTCCTTCACCTGAGGTGATCTGATGACATCACAATGGATGTGTGGATACATTACAGGTAATATATATAAGTGGTAATAGCATTTAAGAAACAGACATGTAAGACGATGGTAGTACTAAAAGATCTGAAAAAGTGGCTTTAAATCAGTATGAACAGTGATTAACAAACAGGCTTAAAATACAGCAAATTCTTCATGCTTGTGCCTTTTTCTCCTTGCTAACCCATGAATCTAGGTCCTACTGTTCCCTTCAAGTTTAACTTTTTCTGAAATGTCTTTCTCATCTATCCATTCATATACTGCTTAGTGACTGTATACTAGATGCCAGACCCTGAGGATAAAGCACTAACAAAAATTCCTGCCCTTGCTTTTTTCTAGTGAGAGGAGACTGAAAAAGCCTCAGTTGCCAATAGGTGTTATGGAGAACATAAAGCAGGGAAGGAGGGTAAAGAATGTAGGGGAGTGACGTGTGTGGTATTTTCAAAATGCTAAAAGTTTATAGCGAAGATGACAACTGAGCTCCAACTCTGAGGAAGATTTATCTGCAATAAGAGTACTTTCAGGGGGAACAGCAAGGATCAAGATCCTCATTCCAAGTGGGACTTATCGCAGTGAAGGCACTGCCCTGTATTTTGCTGCACACACCCTGTCTCCTCAGACAATGCGTTTCTTGAAGACAAACCCTCTCATCTCTTTGGACTCCCAGCATTTAGCAAGGAGCTTACTCGTATGTTGTTTCTAACCACTGTTTATAAAGTTATTAGCAAACACAGTCAAAATATTATGAATTTGTTCCCCAGAATAAAATTAAGATCTTTAAGTTAGGTGCATAGTCAGTTTAAATGACAATGTTTCATTAAGTCCTGTGGCTTATTTGTTCTCCTAATTGCAAAATATGTAATATGAGAATTTAAACCCTTTGGGGCAGGTGCAGTGAAATTAGTAAGATGGAGTTTAAGTAGCTGAAGGATAAAATAACATCTGGGGTCTGTAAAACTCTTGCTCGTTTTAAGAAACTTGAATTAAAATAGCTACCAAAATACATGGTCAAACTTTTTAGGATTTACATTCCCAAGTAAGATGGAGTTTAAGTAGCTGAAGGATAAAATAACATCTGGGGTCTGTAAAACTCTTGCTTGTTTTAAGAAACTTGAATTAAAATAGCTACCAAAATACATGGTCAAACTTTTTAGGATTTACATTCCCAATATCATCATAAAACATCATCTGATCCTTTGTTTCCACAGGCTGGCATTTAAATACATACTCTCCAGTACCCTACTTCTGTAACAGACCCTTCAGCCAGGTTTTTTTTTTTTTAAATCAATGTTGGTAGAATACCTAATGCTACTGATTTTCACAACTCTTTTAAAATCTTAATTTAATTGGGGTTAAATTGATAATGCATGGTAGAACAATATAACACATATCAGCTTTGGAAAAGCTGTAATCAAATGAATTACAGGTGAAAATACTTCCTAATAATTTAGATATCAGATGCAGCTCACCTGCCAAAAATGGTTCTGCTTCAGCCATTCTGTTCCTAACTCAGACTAACGGTGTCTGCAGATTTTTATATACCGTCCAGTCCAGATAACACATTAGTCAGGGACACATGAACAAGGGCTATTAACTTGTCTGTTGCAAGAAGTCACAATTACCAAATAATTAACAATTGTGATGGTGTCACTGCCTAAAACTTTAAAAAGTTTAAAGAAGTTAAAACAAAAAAACTCACTAAAAACAGGGAAATGTTTTCAACTATGTATTTTAATCAAGTACAAATGGGTCCAAGCATTAAATAATGTTGAAAAGACAAACTTTCTAGTTTAAACTGAAGTAAATATTTCTGATTTTGAGCTAGGGACTTACTGCAGCCAAAGAACTTTTCATGATTATTTCTTTCACTATACTGCTTCCTGCCTTCACTGTTCCTAAATCCCCAAAGCAAATCATCCAGTAATACAACAGGAAATCTGAGTCCTAACAAGCTTAATATTCAGTTTAACCATCTTTTTGAAACAGTCTTTTGTATACAGCAAGGGAAAACTTAGCTTCCTACCAGTGGAACTTTCTCAGGAAAACTCTTCTTACCACAGAGCAAAATAAACTCAGCATTTCAAAATTGAGTTTAACCAGGCCACTTTTCTGCATACAGCAAATTAAACCATGTAATTCCTGAAAAGGCGTGGAGAGGTTTCAAAGAAATATTTGAGAACATCTGCAAAAAACAACTATGACAACCATACAAATAAATGAATACACTAATTCCATTCAAGTCATGAAGATATTTTCCTTTAATTTATCCAAACATTTCACATTCATGAAGTCATTTATTTCAGAGCAAATCTAAGTTTATTATGCTAAATTTAAAAGTTTTACAATATTTACAAGACAGCTGGCAGGAGAAACTTGCTGGTATAAAAATAATACAAATATTGTATTTTTCTCTTCAATACTTGTATCTGCCAGTAAAAATGGCAAACAGTTTGTTTCTCTGAAGATCCCAGTTCATTACTGAACATAATGAGGAGCCCATAAGAGGGAATGTACCTAGTCTTAAATGTTCCATTGTCTATAGCTTTAGACCCTCAACATTCTTCTTTAAGTTCAGCAGCTCCTTTTCCTGCCTTCTTTTCTCCAGTTTGAATGCTAATTTGTTAGCTTTCTTCTCCACTCTCCGTTCCTGCACAAGAGTAAAACTCATATTATTCAAATCTTTATAATGATACAGATTACCTTTACAAAGGAAAATTCCTGTAACTTTCCTTCCACCAGCTCTTTGTGAATCTCACATTTGAAAAATGTATTTTACCTTGCGCTCTTCTTTTATAGCTTGCTTTCTTGCTCTTTTATCCTCTTTGCTTTCATTTTTAGTACGTGGTTGGGTTGATACCTTAGGCAGATCACTGCCATTAATCATCTGCATTCGTTCAACTTGCTTTGCTGTGAGTCCTTTCTTAGGTAAGACATTGAGAGGTATTCCTGTTTTAGAAGATATTCGAATTTGTTTGGGCTGAAATAAAGATAAAATAACACAAGGAGTAACCATTCTTATTAAAAAAATAGCTCACTAATGACACACTGTGGGTACTTTTCCTATTAGCACTGCGAGCCACAAAGGGATAAAGTTACTATGAGAAAATGTGTACACTCTATTTCCTGCACTGCATATTTCAAATAGCTCAGAATGCTAGGACTTACCTTTGGTTGACACTTGATAAGTTGCGGATGGTTGTATAAATTAGAATACGTACCTAAAGAAAAAAAAAAAAATCATGTATCAATACACACATTCATTTCAGCAAAACGTTACTGAGTTCCTACTATACTCCTGACTTGGGTGTTTTCATAGTGCAAAATAACACTGGAGTCTTTCATAAATGTTTTTAAATTGTTTACAACTCAGTAACAGGGTATTACTATTTCTAAATTATTTCCACAAATTCCCTAAAAGCCTAACTTCTACTAAAATATAAGTACTTTTCCAGAGTTGATGTACTTAATACTTAAAAATTACTTCATACTTAACAGTAAAGCAGACACTAAAATACTTACTACAAATGGATTCACAGTCCCACTTCTCTTTGGCTTCTTCGAGAACTACAGTAATAATCTCTTCCTCCTCAGACTCATCGAGCTCATTCACTGGCAGGTCTTGATCCTCAAAGGGTTCAAGAGTATTCAATTTTACACAACTTGCGGTTGAGTTTTTAAAAATGAAGACAGAGAAGGGGGAAAAAACACCCATTATAATACTATATCACCAAAACTGCACTTTAAAAAGCTATGGAAACAGGAATTTTTAAATTCACATACTCCTGTGCCCGTCTGTCATTCCTCGTCAAACTTTTTTTTTTTTTTTTTAAAAGATGACCAGTAAGGGGATCTTAACCCTTGACTTGGTGTTGTCAGCACCATGCTCAGCCAGTGAGCAAACCGGCCATCCGTATATGGGATCCGAACCCGCGGCCTTGGTGTTATCAGCACCACACTCTCCCGAGTGAGCCACAGGCCGGCCCATTCCTTGTCAAACTTAACTCTACCCAGCCCTATCTCTCCCCTCAAGTGTGTTTTGGACATTCATTCTGCTGATAGGTAGGTAAGATCTATCGCATTTTTGCAAGGTTATAATACGTTAAACAAGATGACAGCTTTCCTAAGAAAACAGGCTTTTTTTAAAAGTCTAGAAAAATGTTAGCCCATCGTCTCTCCAAATAATTCAAAGTACATAACTCCTTGTTCTGCTGTGGGATTTGCAAATTACAGTGATCACAGAACATCAGACCTTTGTAGCATTTAAATACCTCATCAGTTTCTCTCAGAAGAGACACCTCATTGTGGATGCTGATTTATCAAATAATTGGCTGGTCAGTTCTGCTAATCCAGCTGGAGAGACAAACTCTTATCTTTTATAAGCCATAAATTTCTACTTCTTAGAATACCTGGCATTTCAGAAAAATGAAATGTATACTTATAAGTCAGAATAATTCCTCAGCCAAAGAGGCTACAAGCACCATCTGACTCTCCAAATGGAATGTGTCCTCATATGTCCCACTCTAATCCTCAGTTATTTTACCATGACACTTCTCAAGTCAAAGATACAGAGAAAGTGGTTCTCATTATGTTCCCACTATCATACTCTGCTTCAGAACTCTTAATACTAAAAGTAGGCAAAACAGATGAGCTATCAGACAAAGCTTATGGAAAATGTATCATTTTCTTAATACGGATTCTGACTAGGTGGATTTTTTCCTCAATTCAGTTGTACAGCTACAGAACTTATCTGAAGATGGAAAAAAAAGCAGCTAAAGGAAGAAAAAGAAAAGTCACCATACTTCTCTGTCTTCTCTTTATAGTAGTCATTCAAAACTTCCTGTAAGCGACTGCTGTCTACTTGGATAGAACCTTCCAATTCAGCATTATCCAGAGCTCCAATTTCATCATCATCATATTGCTCATAAAACTTGAATATAAACAGAAAAGATACCATAACAAATAAATGAACTCATTAAGTCTACAGAATTTTTTTTTTTTTTTTAAAGATGACCGGTAAGGGGATCTTAACCCTTGACTTGGTGTTGTCAGCACCACGCTCATCCAGTGAGCAAACTGGCCATCCCTATATGGGATCCGAACCCGTGGCCTTGGTGTTATCAGCACCACACTCTCCTGAGTGAACCACAGGCCAGCCCTAAGTCTACAGAATTTAAATGTTATTTTTACATGAATTTTTTTGGGGGGTGGCTGGCCGATATAGGGATCCAAATCCATAACCTTGGTGTTATAAGATTGTGCTCTAACCAACTGAGCTAACTGACCAGAATATACAAGGAATTCAAACAACTTTACAGCAAAAAAACAAATACCCAATTAAAAAATGGCCAAAGGAGCTGAACAGGCATTTCTTAAGGGAAGATATATGAATGGCCAACAGACACATGAAAAAATGTTCAACATCACACAGCATTCAGGAAATGCAAATCAAAACCACTTTGAGATACCATCTCACTCCAGTTAGGATGGCTAATATCCAAAAGACTGAGAATGATAAATGCTGGTGAGGTTGCAGAGAAAAACGAAATCTCATCCACTGTTGGTGGGACTGCAAAACGGGGCAGACTTTATGGAAAATGTTATGGAGGTTCCTCAAATGATTATACATAGATCTACCATATGACCCAGCCATTCCACTGCTGGGAATATACTTAGAGGAATGGAATCATCATGCCGAAGTGATACCTGTACTCCCATGTTTTATTACAGGATTATTTACAATAGCCAAGAGTTGGAACCAGCCCAAATGTCCATCAACAGATGAGTGGATAAGGAAACTGTGTTATATCTACACAATGGAATACTACTCTGCTATAAAAAAGAATGAAATACTACCATTTGCAACTACATGAATGGACTCAGAGAAAATTATATTAAGTGAAACAAGTCAGGCACAGAAAGAGAAATACCACATGTTCTCACTTATTTGTGGGAGCTAAAAATAAATAAATAAATACACAAACAAAGGGGTGGGGAAGAAGACACAACAATCACAACAATTCCTTGAACTTGTTAAGACAAGTGAACAGATATGATGTAGTAGTAGGCGGGGGAGGGAAGAGAGGAAGGGAGGAAATAGGAACCGGAAAAAGGACATGAAAATCAACTACAACAACGTATACTGAGAAGTTAAAATTAAAAAAATAAAAGAAAAAAGAAATTGAATCCTGGCAACAACCATATAAGTGAGCTTGGAAGCAAATCCGCCTTCAGTCATGCCTTCAGATGAGATCTCAGCCCTGGTTAACAGTTTGACTGAAGTTTCATGAGCCAGATTCACCCCGTTAATCAACACCTAGATTTCTGTACCAATGAAAGTATGAGATAATGAATGTTTGTTATTTCAAAAAAAGAAAAGAAAAAGCTAATTCAGTAAAAAGTTATCACTCTAAAAAAGGTACTACCATTCACACAGATCATTTAACTGTATCTAAAAATGGCTTTGGAATAAATATTTCAGTAACGAAGAAATTTAAAAAACAGTAATTTAATACAATCTTAATGTAATGAAAAACTTTTAGGTACAGTAAATGGAAAACAGATGACAATCTGTGTAAGGATAAGAAGACAGAAAAAAGTATATCTTTTCAGGCAGGCTACAGATTCCTCAGAAGAGAGCACATGAACATACTCACTTCAAGATTACATCAAGATCCCTATTTACTTAGTCAAGTATGCTGAAGTATTGGTCAGAATGGAGTCCCTCAGAGCAGGAGGTGAAACGGCCTGTCTCAATCAGCCTTCTTTGGCTGCAGAGTTCATAGCAGAGCACTATGCAGCAAACAGTGCACTGCCAATGGGAAGTGAAGTCTTGCTAGATCGGAAAATCTTTTTGTGACAATTCCTTGATCTTGTTAAGACAAGTGAACAAATATGATGTTGATGGGGGGAGGAAGGAGAAGGAGGGAGGAAAAGGAGAAATTGGTAAAGGGATATGAAAACCAACTATGTTGTGTATTGCTAAAATAATAAATAAATAAATAAATAAATAAATTTTTTAAAATAAAAGATGACTGGTAAGGGGATCTTAACCCTTGACTTGGTGTTGTCAGCACCACACTCTCCCAAGTGAGCCAACTGGCCATCCCTATATAGGGACTTGAACCTGTGGCGTTGGTGTTATCAGCACCACACTCTCCCAAGTAAGCCACGGGCCAGACCCTATAAATGTTATTATTTTTTTTTTTTTGTCTTTTGTCTTTTTTTTCCGTGTCCGGCAACGGATCGCAACCCTCAGTGTTGCCCCCATACCGGACCGGGGACCGGCAACGGGATTGCAACCCTCGGTGTTGCCCCCGCGCCTCGCTCAGCCAGTGAGCGGGAACCGGTCTGTATGTGGGATCCGAACCCTCAGGCGGGAGCGCCGCCGCGCTTCCCAAGCGGCGCACTTATCCAGTGTGCCACCGGGCCGGCCCTATAAATGTTATTTTTACATTAATTTTTTTTGGGGGGGCGCAGCTGGCCAGTATAGGGATCCAAACTCACGACCTTGGTGTTACAAGACTGTGCTCTAACCAACTGAGCTAACTGGCCACCCCCTACATTAATTTAATTCATACACAATATTTAAGCAATAAGATCACATCTACAATTAATATATTAGCAGGGATTTAGTACCATAATAGAATGTGGAAGACATTTCTGCCCAGTACTTTAGATTTGCATTTAGACTGAAAATAGACTTCCATTAAACATAAAAATGAAAGGCAGTTATTCTACTCAGCTTGGAGAACAAAGTTCTAGGCAGAGATCTTTACCCCAGACCATTTTATTTTCCTTAATCATGCAAAATAAAAGATTGTATTAAATTGCACAGCCTCCTGTTAATTTATAAATTTCACTTTTGTTAGATGATGTTTACTGTACTATTTAAATGTTGTTAAAACTGTTAGGCTTTGTCAAAGAGTAAGCAACAGATGATGTATCTCCTCAAGAGTGAGATTATCTGTAGTAACAGTTTGCCTATTTCTTAAGACAGAAAAGGAAATCTAGTACCTAGAGAAAAGGTGGCAAAGTTAGAACCTTTATCTTAGATTTGCCTTGAAAGAAATCATTCCTTTATTCACTCACCATTTATTGAACAGTTTGATCTCCGATCATATGCCAGACACCACTTTAGGGCTTGGGATGTATCAGTAAAGAAAACACACAGTGTAACACATAATAAATAAGCACACTGGATAGGATGTTAGGAGGTATTAAATTCTATAGAACAACAGGCTAGGACGGCTGACTGGTTAGCTAAGTTGGTTAGAGCCTGGTGTTATAGGATACCAAGGTCAAGGTTTCAGATCTCTGTATTAGCCAACCATGCACCCCCCCCCCCCCCTCCAAAAAAAAAAAAAATGTAGAATAGGCTGGGGGAACAGAGAACCTGTA